AATTGTAGAGTGAGCAAATAGTTCCATAAACCATCGTTATGATTCCACCGCCGGCAGAGAGTATAAATTCAAACGTTTAAAAAAGTAAGGAATAGTTTCATACGCGTGTTGAAAGACGACGTAATCTAAAACAGCTTCTGATAGCTTAATGATGTACAAAGCGCGGTTGCTATACATGTCCCCATAATCTACGTCATCATAATCAAATTCGCCATGAAATGATGATGGAATTTCGTGCCTAAAGAAAGAAAATTTTATTTCCAAACGATGGCGGGAAAGCACTCTCTTACACAGCGGATCTTGATCTTTTAATGATCAGTCACGCGGGGGTGTGACTCGGGTTTAAAGATATTTCCTTGTGAGTTCTCTTGATAAAAAAGAAAAAAAAAACCTTAGAGTTTAAAGAGTAGACAATTCGCCGATAAATGGATGTAAAAGGGTGGGCGTTCGTTTGATTTTGGTATCAGTGGAGTTTCGAAGGCGGTGTGAATTGACAGCAAAAAGTGACTTAACCACGAGGCGATTTCAGAAACAACTTGCGAAAGTACGTTTTTCCTTTCGAAAGGAAATGGTATTGTATCAATGCTAAAAAGCTTCCTGATTGGCGAAACCAAGGGACGATTACAAAAAACAAGGTAAATTACAAAAGGATTACAGCGGCAGAGAATTCCCAATAACTGTTAGCCTTGATATCAAACAGAATGAAGTCGGGTCGGTTCCGTTTAGCATTTATACGTTCATGTGATAATTACATCTCTAAGCTGGTATTTTATCACAGAGAACAAGTGTAACATTATTTGAATAGGTAAAGTACGCGAGTCGATCTTAAGCCGATGTTAATAACAAATTCATTTGCTGTAGCGAAGCGGTATGCTTAGAAATCTTCATTCGATAGGTTTTTAGGATTCTTGTGGAAATTAGTTTAACGGTGGAAAACAATATATTAAGTCGATTAGTTAGATTTAATAATGATCAGAGCGAAAAGGAGTGTCTCCTTCTGCAATGTTATCGCGCACCTTGCCTTAGTTTGTTTCGATAGGCCCTTTTTTCTCATTTCTTTACAGTCACACCCATGGCCTAGAAGATCAAAGAAGAGAAAATGTTCAAAAGTACAACATAAGGAGTAACCCTTAAAAACCAGTACTACTTATACCAACTGCATGCCTTTTCTCTATTTATCTTGATATTATGTCTCCGTATACACAAACATTTCTCAACGAATTTGGCAGTTGGAATTGAGATAAGCCCAGAAAACCTCGGCAAAACAGAACCACCAACAAAATACGTTACCAAATCAATGAAACGTGCTGGCAACATAGGGATAGTCTGTTGAACGAATTTACCACCACTGAATAAAATGCTGAATTATATGAAGTTTTTACCGCTAAAGAACCTGAGGATTATTTTCAAAAGACAAATGAAATCTCGGTAGCTTTACGCTTTGATCATTGCGGATAATGAAGCAGCTAACCAGCGGATGTGCAAAGCTTTAGACAAACACAGCTTACAGGATTTCATTTGTTGCATCCAACTGTTCATTGAGTCAATCTACGAAGAAATGATCAGGATCTTTTCAATTTGAGAACTTCTCAAATGGTAATAAAATATGTGGTTGTTGTTCATCGTGGTGTAAGATAGGAGATGAACTTTATTCGTTTGTCTCACGATGGAGTCACTTTGGATGTTGATCGCGACGTTTCGACTGCAATACTGCTAGTCTTCATCAGGTGATGAGGTCGATTGTTTACATGTCGCTATTCAGTTGTAGCACGTTGGTTGTTCGATCCTCGTTATTATTCCGGTGGTTAGATGGTGTTCCCTCACAGGTCCACATCAATGGGGTGTTGGTTCTAGGGCGTCTTTAGGTCGCACTAAGTGAGACCTAAGCGTTGTGTCATACTTGAAAACGGTCCGCATGCCTTGATGTTGTTGTTGAGAACAGCAATACATTTAAATTCCTACGCAGCTTCTTTGTAGGCTGTTACTCTTGTTTTCTATGCGAGATTTCGCACAAACGAAGAAGGATAACCATCAGAAATAAATGCTGATTGTCACCTCAGAAGATTACCCAAGTGACTGAACGGACAATTCGAACGCACGCAGTGATCTTTATTAATTTTAGATGATAGCGCTAAGATGTAATTTTGCTTGATGGAAGTAGCGGTTGAGGTAGTGTGTGTTTGGTTCCAACTAAAAGAAAATCAGTGTATAACAGAAACTAAACTAAGAAAAATGCGTTGCGAAATATAACATTAACCTTACTAAAAATGAAGCGATCGCACGGAAAACTGAATACAAGAACTACACCAATAATACATACAAAAGGTAAACAACTTGAATGTTAAAGAAATAAAGATTTACTTTGGTCTAGCTCCTAACGGTAGCAAATAGCTTGTAGCGATTATCTAGCAGCGATGATTTAGTGGCGATGACTGAAATAGAATCTTTACACGTGTACTTAAATGGGAATTAATCGGATATTACAAACTTATTGTGTAATAATCATTAAAGACTTAATGATAGAAATGAACCGGAACAAAAACGATAATAAAGTGTGTATTAACTAAGTGTTTCGAAACACTGATGACAAGTGTTTCTTTTCCCCGGAGATAACTGACGGTTTCGTTTTGAGGTGTTTGGCTAGGTTGTATAGACATTTAACAATACCACGTTCCATTGACTGAGGATGATATAAATCAAGGGCTAGGCACTGGTTAGTGTGGATTGACTTTCTGTAGACAATAGTGGTGAAAAGAACGTCTGAGGCCCTTATAACTGATGTGTCGAGAAAAGGAATGGTTTTATCTTTCTCGATTTCCATGATGAAACGAACAGTAGGCTGTTGAATGTGAACGTTTATATGTTATATATAAAAAGCGAAAATCGTTTACGAATAACTGACCCTCGTAATAGCTAATGTTGCTCTTGACAGCAGCTAACGTTGATAAACAGCAATCTTTCTCGTTTACGAAGTCTTTTTAACTCACGGTGAAGAGCAGTTGGTATTCTCTTGTGAAGAGTTAGAAATGGTGTTGGGGGGGGGGGGGGACCGGAGGGGATATTAGTCGTCGTTAACAGAGTGTAAAAAGGGACTGTAGAAAATTGACAGCCAACTAACTACCAATGATTGGAAAAAAAATTAGCCTCGAAAATATTGTTGTATTTAATCGGATATTACAAGGGCAGTGACTGCAAATAGTTAGCAACATGACTTTCGCAGAATTTCTCACTACTTTAGGAGGAAACTCTGCACACGCTGGTTCTACAGACTTGGACTGTATACTTCATAATACAACATTACACGTTCTGTTTTACGACCTAACTCACCCCATCTTTTTTGAGTTACAAAAATGCTATGTTTTATTAACTACGGATACACACACCCAGATACGTAAGTTCGGAGTGGTAAGATAATTTAAGCTAACTTGACAAAGTTCCAGTTTTGTTTTACACATTCTTCAATGATTCGTGGCTACTGATTTCCTGTTACATCGGCTTGCTCGACAATCATAGTGTTAATCTACGCATGCAGTTTTACTAGCAACTATTTGATTAAATATATCATTGTTTAATTTGTGAAGGCTCGATCACACGATGCCGGTTAATACTTCCTTTGACATTCCACAAATCGATGTTAGCGACAAGAAATAATAGCTTACTTAATCAACTACTAAATACCGAAACAGAAAACTTTCTTATGAGCACGTGCAAACTTTTCACGACAATGACTGTCAAAAAGATCCGCGCGTCGTTCTGGAATGCGAGCAAAATTTGTTTCCCATACTGGAATTATGCACAGGGGTATGGACTTCATCAGCTAATCATGCAGCTTTTTTTTAAACCTCAAAGCTGATAAGTCGCGCGCATAACAGAACGTGTAGTGTTGATTAGTGAAGAATTACGTCAGATTTGAGCGCAAGTACACAGTTCAAGATTGTTGAACCAGCGCGCATGGATCTTCTCCCACAATCGGAGAATTTTGCAAAGATTTAGGATTAATTTAAATTAAAACCATACAATTTCACGAGCTAACAATTTGTTCATAAGCAATGAACGCGCGCCAACCCATGATGCACGTGGAAAGTTTGGTGAACCTGAAAACGGCGTAAGAGTTTATAAAGGCGTAGCCGTGAGCGGCTTACGATTTTTGAGCGCTCTGAGAAACTTCCCAAGAGCTTAAAAAAAGCACAGAAAAATGCTTTGTAAACTCTTCAACGCTTTACCCTAGATCTAAATCTTATGTAAATGAAACTCCCTATTCTACGCCTTTTCCTGAACAACCTTAAGCGTGCGCAGTGAGGGAAGGCGAAGCACACTTTTGACTGTGCAAATTTACCGCCTTGTTATGATACCTTTTGTTTCTGGATGGCTCTCCTGCTATCTCTCTGTTGAGTAATTAGGTCGAGTCTTCCTATGAAACAAAATAAAAAATTCATCTTACACGTGTTTTAGTTTTTTCAAGACCAAAACGTATTCTTCCTCTCACTGAATTGGACTTCATACGGCTAAGCAACTGTATGAATTCCCGCGGAGACACGCTGTAACTAAAAACTTCTCACCAATGGATAAAAAAAATTGTCTGAGGACTAGTCTCATTAAATCGCTTGTTTACTTCTCGTTTATTTATTTTTTAGAGACACGCTGTAACTGAACTGCTTACCAATGGATAAAAAGATTGTCTGAAGAATGGTCTCATTATTTCGCTTGTTTACTTCTCTTTTATTTAGTTTTTTGGTTAGTTCTGCATTCTAGTGTTTTGTTATGTGCACTGGAATTTTTCCGGTTCGTGCAATTTTGTTCGTGACCTAGGTTAAATGTTCCCAGATCCAATAACATTCGTCAGTACTTAAATAAATTGACATGTACACGATAATCACGTAATCAAACAAGTTAAACTGATTGCGGTCATATGGTTGCGGTCAAGAACAATAGAAGTAACACGATTTGAGTTGGCGTTTGTTTACCAACCACATATTTTTCTTATATAAGGCAAGGAAAGCTTTAGAGAAAGGCAAAGCAGACACCGCTTGAGTGGCGAGAAGATCATTCTGAAAAAGATACCGCGCCAACAGGAAAGGACAGGTGATAGCCAATCAACTGTTTTTAACATCACAGTGAATGAAATCCCTTCGCAACTTGTTGACTCACGTCTAACTTGAAAGAAATTCTTCAATATCACTGAGGTCGCATTCGAACTGACAATCACGTTAGGAAACGTTGCAAAGGCACAAAGATTTGGATCCTAGCCGCGCAACCAGAACATGTCTTCTCAAAGTTTGAAAGAGCAGACAACGAAGAGGTCATCTATTGGAGAGAAGTTTCATGCCAAATTAAGTAACGGGAATCAAGTGTTCCCTACCTTGACTGAGACAAATGAGGAACAGATACCCTATTCACAATTAACGTTTGGAGTGGACGAAACAAAATCCCCATGGGCAGAGGCCGGAGCGTCAGAAGAGCATCATGGAAGTATTGCATCAATACTTCCCCGAAAGCGACGAAGGTTTTTGAGCGAGTCAAACATGATGCGAATTCTAATTGCTGCAGCCCTAATCCTTTCCGTCGCCAATCTCTTCTTAACAGTTGCGCTCACCAGAAGAGAAGAGAAAGGTTGCACTTGCCAAAAAGACAGTGCCAAGGAGTTTAGTGGTAAGAATTATAAATTAGCTTAAGAAATCTTTGTTTAGTTAACATTTAGTTATCCTTTTAGGCCTGTGCACAGACGCTATCATGAAAAAAATAATTAAGCCCTCGAGTTGTTAAAAGACAATATTGTTTTTTATCCAAACACTTCCAGGGGCGGCGCACGCAATTCCTGAGCTACTTAACGCACGGCAGTGTACTTCCATTGTTCCCGAATAATTTATCTTGTTCCTCATGCTGTGCAAGCTAATAAGTAAAATTGTTAGTTTTGTTTTCTTCTGGTCAAAGCTCGTTACTGAAAATATCAAATCTCTTTACATTTCGGTATTCATGGCAGTGTTCCAGTGGCGATAGATTATCCCCGGCCTCACCAATTTTTTCTACCAAATTGATTGTTTCATTAAGTTTAAGAGCGATAAACCTGTAATAACAGACTTATCAACCACTAAATCAAATTTTCCTCTCAATCATTTGCGGGTTTTTATTTTACTCGAAATAAACCGATGCCTTCTTTAAGGTTACTATCGCGGAAATTGCGCACAATCGATTTTTACAACTAACCATTCATTCCCAAAGTTTCAGCTTTAAATGATATTAAAGCTCGATCAACTTAGTTTTATTTTTTCAACCTACGTGTTGTGAAAAAAAGCCCAACCTCGGTCAACTCGGTCAACTTCAAAATAAAAAAAAAGACTGTTTGTGTCAGACATGCAATCTTGATTTAAAATAATTGAGCATGAAATCATCTAATGTGCCCAACAGTAGAAGGTTTTTTAGTATCACACGCTCACGGTTCTTCGAATTCTCACTTTACTTTTTTATTCCTTTCTTTCTTCAATTTCGAGTAAAATGAACCACTTATTAGGGGCTTCATCTTACACGGCTTAATGGTCCGGCATTTCGTAACCTCTAGAGTGCAGAGTAAGTACACTTTCCCTCTGTTATTCAGCTTTTCATCTAGGATAGTTTTTCGAAAATTCAGACCAATGCAGAGATGTTAACTCTTGACGTAACAACCAAAAAACACAACTTATGCAAACATACTTCTTTATGTGGGATGAGAGAGGCACGCTATTTTCGCAAACCAAATCAGACTCAGTTGACCACAGAAAATAGCACACAAATGCTTTCCTCTTGCTAACTGGTTAGCAAGGCCACCATTCTGATAAAGACTCGACCTTTGAAGGCCTTAGTTGGCAGATAAAGAGTTTAGTCCAACTTGTAACCTGTAATTAACAATGGTGATAAAAACTTGTTTAAATATTTGCTGTGTATCTTTCTGTGCACATGTAGGAATGCGAAGGCCCCTACATAGAACAAATAATCTAAGCAATTGTTTCTTTTGACGGACAATGGAATACACTTGCACTGCCACCTCCAACACACGTTAGTTTGTTAGCTGAGATTGGATCACGTACGAAACGGCGTTATGCAGATCTAAACATGGACGTTTCCTGCTGTCGAAATGCATGTGGAAAAAAGAAAATTCTCAGAAAAATAGCGAAGACCGAAATGTAGTTTAGCTTACATTACTTTATTTAACAGTTCGCTGAAAGATTCTGTCATGAGTTTGGTTGCTCTGATCAATATTGGAAAATTTCTATGCATACATAAACATCTTAAACATTTGGGCAGAAATAGCCTTGCTCAACAGGAATGGAATGCTGTTTTGATACTTTCTAGTAGAATGAGAGTTCATGAAGGTAACCTAAAATTCAGTTTTTTTTTATTATGAGATTTGAACATCACAGCTACAGTTCCAGGCATGCCAAATCATTTTAAACGTAATGGAATTTACTAGATTGAAATCAGTAATTCCGATTCGAATAGAAGTTTATCCCACCATCCCGAAATGCGTTCATGCTAGGATTAAAATTGGACATTAGTACCAAGCGTACCTAAGTATATAATGATTTTTTTTTTCGCGTGATGAAAAAGTATAAGACGCAAGAAAAGGAATTTAGTTCAGTTAATTTTGATTTAAATGAAATCTCACCAAAGTGTCCTAACAAGCTAGGCGTTTCTCAGTGCTCTTTCATCAGAATTACTGTGTTGTTACGCACCTTGCAGACAACAGAATATTAAAAAATGTTGGTTTTTTCAAAGCTAAGAACCACCAGTTCAAATAATTTCGATGAAAAGTTCACCAAAGGATGATAAATTCTTCTAGGTTCCCTCATTGGAATTGTTAAGTATTAACGTGGCTATAGATTTATCATGAAAAGCATTTTGAAATAAAGTAGAAACTGCTTATAAACAGATTCCTGCCGCACAGATGAAATCTAGCTGTCATGATTTCGATTCAAAACTTACAGAAACATACTTTGGTTGGTTTGTGCCCTCTTATCAACGCTGTGCAAAAATTGTTTCGAGAACTAAGTCAGGGCTTCTCTTTAAAACGTGTAAATTTTTGCAGTGGAGTTGAATAGCTTTACGCATATGATTAAAAGAACAGACAGAAGAAACATAAGATTCTCAAAACGATCTTGAGAGGTCTTTCTGCTTTGTCAATGAAAGAGTGAAAAGAACCAAGACAGCAATTCACGCGGGCATTATCACGCTCAACACGCAAAGGAGGCAGACTCGTAGAGGGGTGGGGGCATAATAGCGGCGGCTTTGTCATTGTTTGAATAAAAAGCGTAATCTTAAAAACAGCTCTGTCCTTGGACACATAACACCCTCGGTTTCCTATGCCGGCTACTAAATTTTCTAATGTTTGAAATTTAAGTAAAACTCCCTTGACAAAATAAAATCAGTGAAGCTGGTCTAAACATCTTTTTCCGAAAGAAGGTCCGAAATTCATTTTGTAAGACAATTAGTAATTAATAGAGTGTTAAATGTGTTAAATTTCACTATGATGTCGCGCCAAGGTTGTCACTTAATGCATATAAGCTTATTCGCTGCTTTAAGACTGCTAACCACTAGATTGCAAAAGAGGAGAATTCGTGTCTCTCTACAACCATCTAGCAAGAAGAGTCCTCTTTGAATAAAGAAGTGAAAATTATAACTTACTTACTTGTTCACGGAGACTTTACTTGATTGACCTCGATTGTAGTATTGACCGTAATATCAAATAAGTTTGAAAAACGCCGGCCCGCACCTTATTTGAAAGCTCAAGACAAAGGAGACTTACGAATTTCCAATACAAGGACACTAAAAAGGGCGTGAAACGCCAAGTCCATTGTTACAAAAAAATTGAAAGGGAAGATCGTAAAATTAGTCCTGTCGCGCCCCATAAATCTGTGACATGGCTTAGCAAGGTACATCTCCTTTCCATTCGTGAATAAACGTAATCTGTTGAACCCTGTCTAAGATCTAATCTGCTTCATTCTTTTAATTTCAAGGTCCAGAAAAATTAAAAGGCGAAGGCAACAACCGAAACACCACCAACGAGGTAAGATATCTTTAACTCAAAGTCATTTTTTTTTCCTCATCACGTTGAAAGTGTGTTTACTTATTTGTTTGTTTTATCATTAATGGATAGTTATGGTGGAAAACAAAACGTGTCCCTAAGACTTAGAACAAGCCAAGACTTGAAAATTCTAAGTCGATAGTCTGAGGAAGGTCATGTTCAAATGGAATGTTAAAAACTGAGAAAAAAAAATTATGGACTTTATCCTATTGGCATAACGGTGTCCTTATCTTCTCCTGCAATTTACCTGAGCAAAGAAGAGAATTAGGAATTATCGATCTATTTGTTGCGTGCGATCCTTCATGAAAAGGTCAAATTGGCGACCTACTAAATTTTAACAAACTGATCAAAAGAAGAATAGCAACAAGATCAAAACATGGGTGTTGTAATTTCCTTTAGGAGGATAACACCGGAATAGAAAAGCCCCCGGAAGCCGGGCCACCCGGACCTCCCGGTCCCCCTGGACCACCCGGACCTCCAGGAGAGCCTGGCCCGCAAGGCGGAAAAGGCGATACTGGAGTACAAGGGCCCCGAGGACCACCAGGGATTGGTGCCCCTGGCCCAGTGGGTGCTCCAGGGCCCAGGGGTTATAATGGGACTCAAGGACCAATTGGACCTCCAGGTGTTAACGGCAAACAGGGCCCACCAGGTCCTCAAGGGCCAATGGGACCCATGGGCTTTAACGGCTCTCAAGGTTTGCCTGGGCCAACAGGCTTGGAAGGCCCCAGAGGCCCTCCCGGTGTCAACGCGACGCAAACTGGAGGAGGAGGTATCGCCGGACCACCGGGTCCTCCTGGTCCACAGGGAATTCCTGGGCCTGGAAATATGAGCCTCTGTCAGTACAAGAATAAGATAGAAGTCGCCCAGACAGCCGGGGATTCAGCTAATTCAAAAGTTATTCTGCGAGAAGATGAACACCCGGTATGAGATAGAATTTGAAATAAGCGTTTTAACAGTTGCATTCATTTTTTTAAGGATACAATTGAATATTATGTTTACACATTACTTAATTTTCCATACTTCAGCGTGTTTTTAAAAATACTGTAGGTAATCAAAGTCAATTATTTTGAAGACTGTAATGCTAATCCCTGAATTTGTACGAGCATTCTTACTGAAATTCTAGATTTGAGTTTCGTACCGAATCTTGAACTTAAATCAGTAAATTTTTAGTACAAACTAAACTATTATTTCTTTGTTCAGGACGAAACGTACTTATTTTCTAAATTTTTTTGTCTCAGGGGATGAAGATTGTTGCAGCTACTTGTTCAACGCACAGAGCTGCAGAGTACGTCTTTGGTGATGCAAAAACTGACCCCAGAACAGGAACCATTGCGTACAATTGTCACTGTAGAGGAAAATCACAACTGTTTCTTGGCGCAAACATGCAGTGTGTTATTCACTATTGGATCTGTCCAATCAATAGTTAAGAAACTACATTCTTAACCAGCACAGTCAAACAGCGTTCGTTCTACAAAATAGAGGACCAACTGTTTTAAAAAGGCACTTTCATACCCCAGATTTGAAATCAGTAAGTTAAAGATTTCATTTAGAGCAACCCCTATGTAGTGTAACAGAGGATCTTTCATTTGATCGAGCATCATCCAGAGCAGTAGTTGAATTATATCCGTGACTCTGTCCCAGAGGTTTCAGCTTCATTTTTAAGGGAGATGATATATTCCAAGGAATCAGGTCATACAAGGTTCTTAACAGTAGCATAATAGAAAACCCTTGTGAATAGCTTGTTATCGAAAATGTGCGCGACTCTCTTCTTCAGCAGTGTGTGAGAAAATATTGGCAAAATGAGACCAGCGAAAAAAAGTTATGATTTTAAAATTTTACTTCACAGTAAGATAAACTCTGTCCTCTCGATTGATTTCCTCCCCTTTGAAAATTTAAACACTATGTACTGATTTAGATTTCATTTGCTTGAGCTTGGTTATTTTTATAGCCTCTACATCTGAGAAAAAAAAGTAATTGACTTGTCAGAGAGGGTCATAAACGCAATGGAAGAAAAAAAGGTCCCTTGAGTTCGCCAGAATTATTTGCATTGAGTATGAACTAACAAAATTAAGACAGATGTAGATAATTAGACTTTATTATATTTCACCGTCCAGATCGCCGGATTGAAAATGTCATATTACAAGTGCCATCTTTCTACGGGCAAGAAGAGAAGATTTTAACTGATTACTTGCATGTTAACCATTATACTCATCGCTTTCTTTCTTTCGCATCAGTATCGAATAATTTGACAATACATTTATTAGATTTTGGCAATGATTGATCCTTACAGAAAAAGTTTGATAAATCATAACACGCTTTGATATACCAATGCCAACAGCAGTCTTATATAGCAGTCTTATATAATAACATCATTTTGGTAAGATAGCCGTTAATATTACATCTCCACGTACACAGTTCATCAAATGAATTATAATCGTGAATGATTTTTATAGTTCTACACGAGTCCTTAGTGACTGGAGACTATTACATTTCCATAATTACCAATTCTTGCATTACTCGCGTCGAATCTCAACTTAATTAGAGATTGATTTAATATTTAAACTTGTGTATGGATTAAAAACACCTGTACTTAGACAGTATGATTCATAACAAGCCTTTTTAATTGTCTATTGGTATCTCACAGCAAACGCTGGCATTTTACGTCATAAAGTGTGGTACTCGTGAGTATGCAATTACCCCTTGTTGCAATTTATTTATCATCATAATTCACAATTATCAATTACGGAATCCAAAACGTATAAACGTAAAGGTTAGGATGCTATATTCTTTACTCTAAGACAACACAGCGGTCAAACGTAAAGCACGCGCGAGGGGGTCAATAGTAGGCGGCAGTGCGCTAGTTTCCCACTCAAAACTACAAAAAAAAGGAAAACAGAAGACACAACTGCTGTACAGCAAAAAAGCTAAAGAAAAGAAGGAAAATTAAGGGAAAACACGAGACTTTTCGAACACAACGCTTTTTCAAGTACGGGTATCCTACAGTTGGTTTACCCTTCTGTTTTTATCGTGACGTACTGGGCTTGTGTGGTTGATTGTTTTGTAACTCGCCACCGAGTCATGAAGACGTTTGCACGTGTGTGAACGCTTGATCGCGGATAATTAACAAAAGAGACAATGTTGATCTCGCTCACATTTGCCCTTTCTTGATTTAAATATGTCCTGAGGGGTTCGGGGTAATTTAGAGACAATTGTCTACCGTAAACCTACCCACACCGATAAATACCTCGCTTCCGATTCTCACCACCCTATTTGCCATAAAAAGTCTGTGGCCAAAACTTTACTCAGGAGCCGTTGGCTGTCTACCATCTTCACTCGATTCGAAGGCTGACGAGAGGAAATATGTTTCTAATGTCCTAAAGGCAAATGGCTATACAAAAGCCTTTCTCCGTAACTGCCAAAAACCAGTTACAACTAATAACTCTCTTCATGAAAGGGAACAAGTGACTGGTTTTGCTGTTATTCCTTACATTCAGCAGTCTGTTCAGGGTGTTCAGGGAACCCATCAAGAGAAATTTGAATAGCCACAACGTTAAAGTTGCTCAAAAACCTTTTCAGACTTTGTAGCATATTTCCGCCTAACCTAAGGATCCTGTCACGAAAGAACAACGAACGGACGCCATTTATTCTATTCCTTGCAATGACTGTGACAACGAGTACATCGGACAGACCAAACGTCAGTTTGGTACACGTTTGAAAGAGCATCAAAAAGCGGTTTTATTTTGCAAAAAGGAAAATTCAGCTTTGTCGGAGCACACATGCCTAACCAACCATACAATTGGGTGGGATAATTCTAAAATTATCACCACTAATCGGCGTTACCACCAGCGCCTTTGTTTGGAGGCTTGGCATATTAACTCCGCCCACGCTCCTTTAAATCGTGACGATGGCGGCTTGCTTCCTGACGCCTATTTACACCTCGTCAGAAAAAAGGCAGCTAACTAGTGATAATTTAAAAGGACCTCTTATTGCAGCGTTTAGATCACTCCTGATGAAGGCACTAGACAGGAGTGCCGAAACATTGGGTCTATGAATTGTAACTTCTTCGGTTACATTCATTAAATCTGTAAACCAGAGTAGCATCAAACCATGTCTGAAAGGCAAAATTATTGTACAGTTTCTATTAAGGGTAAATTAATGGCGGGGGAACATTTAATCAATAGTCTTCTTCATCTGCGATGTTTGAAGTGCTCATTGTGGAAATCGTCGAAATCACAACGAAGGAAAGAATGGCGAAGGACGGCTCCTTCGTCTTTAAAATTGCTCCTCCCCCTCCCCTCCCCGAAGCGTCCACCAAGAAACCGTCAGCAATTACCTTTGCCAGCGGTTTTGCGTTTTGAGGTAAAACATACTGATCGACCCGATATCGACCCGTCGATTGACCTATGCGGAATACTCGGTTTTAAATGGAGTTTTTTTGTATTCTTCACTCAAAAGACTACCTGAGGAGAAGTAAATTCAAATGCTAAAAACCAAATGCACTTAAAGCGGAGCCCTCCGCTTACCGCTAGAGGAATTTCTTTCACATGGACCCGTGAGTCTCTTTTTGCTGATTCAGGTAGTTTAGCTTTTTTTTGTTGCTAACGATGAATACAGCTGGTGAGTGGGGCCTTCTGAGTCCTGATGGCACACTGCACAAGCTATGTGAGCCAAATTTTTTTGTGGGAAGGGATGATCAGATGGATTTGACGCTGAAGGTGAGATTACTTTTCTTTCATCCGTGAAATAAAATCATACCTCATAAGTTGTCAGTTTTCAACTGCGTTGATTGAGAACGCTGGAAAACATCAGTCGTTTAATTTGCGCTGAATTGAAATCCATAGCATTTTTTTTTCGTATGTTGATATGCTATTTATTTGCAGTATTTCACCCATTATTCGCTGAAAACTGAGCGCAAATAATATTTTATGTTATTCTTGTCATACATTTAATGTCTGAGCAAGTTCCGTGCTTTCAAAGATTTTGATTGATTAACGCTCTTTGAAGGTGTGAAAACTTGAGATGTTTTAAGCCCCTTGAGATTTAATTTAAAGATTGTTACTAATGCGGAACATTTCAGAAGTGGGTGTGAAAGAGGTTTTCCAGTTGAGAATCCAAGATATTAATCTGTGTTGTTCTACAGAAATGAGCTCGGTAACCCCCCATTTTGCATGTTCAGGGTTGTTGCTAAGCGCTGGCTGCTGGCTAAAAGTGCCAGCTGAGAAATTCGTGATTGCAGCTAGATTTTTGCTGGTGACAACTGGCAAACCATACTATTTTGTGGTGTCTTCTTTCTATACCTGGCAGTCACCATCATGCAAACACGAAGCTTTGAAGCCTTACTGAGAAGGAATTGCAAAAGATTGGGAGCAAAATTTTGTTACCAGGTCTCTTATTAGGCCAGCTCTTTTCTATTCTTTAACTCCCAAGATCTGATTATTATTTCTCCCCTTTAACTGCTTCACATTTCCTTATAAAGTAGTTATGAGAATTTGTATTTCAATCAAGATAACTTCAACCTGATAAGTTTGAGTACTCTCATTACCAGTTTGCTGGACAATGTATGAATATTAGAGGGAGTTAACCCTTTACACCCTAACATCAACATGCATATTCTCTATACTGTTCTCTATACATTTCCTAATGTGCTGGCAAGGAGAATTTGTTCAGTTGATCATCACTTCCTTTATTCTCATGCCCTTAATACTTGATTCAGGGATGATACTGAAAGGAGAAATTAGGATACTAGTCACTCTCAGATATTATAGGGTAATAATGGCTTAAGTGGCAGACTACTTCCTTAGCTACAAAACTGCTTGTTATATCGCTCTGCAAAGTTTCATGAAAAATTTGAGAAAAGTTCAGTATGTATTTTGATGGACTCTGAATCTCATTAAATTATACTGCAAACATATGGTAATGAAATTCAAATGGAATGTCAGTTGTTGTAATCAAAAGTAGATTATTCCATTATGCTGACTGAATTTCTCTTCCTTTCCTTATTTATGATAATAATTATTCTATAACTTTAACTGAAGATGGTGGGTTTAGTCTTTACTGATCAAGTTTCAAAGATCTTTCTGACAGTGAAGAGGTTTCCATGGCATTCCTTTTCTTGCTTTAGGTTCTGATTATATTTGTCTAATAATGTAATTTTTGTTGGTAACACCAAACATTTTTGTTTCAGTCAAGAAGTGTGGATAAGCAGCATGCTGTGATCACAGTGAATACACAGAACAAAGAGTACAAGTTACATGATCTTGGAACTTTGAATGGTGTAAGTATATGAGGTCCTAAATGCTTCTTATTAATATTTGTTCCATTAAGTGGCCATTTTACCTTGAGTAAGCATCCACCCTTCACCCATAAATTATTTACCCTTCCAACCTAAGATCTCATTTAGTAATTCTCCTTACCGTGTGGCATATAATTTTTAAGATGTTAGTTCAGGGAATTTGGTATTGGATCAATGAATAATCCCATAATTGCTATTTTTCTTTATTCTCATCACTTGTCTGTTTGGTATTTTATGGATATTACAAGGATAAATTCTGATTTAATGATTTTACATCAATGGAAAATAGTTTGCAATAAACAAAATGCCTTTCTACACAAAGTACAGTTACTGTAAAAGTTCCCTGCACTTGTTTTCCTTACAGACATTTGTAAATGATTCAAGAGTAAAACAGCATCCAGTTGACTTGAAGCTAAGAGACAACATTCGTTTTGGATATGATATCCTTTATAACTACAATAGCAGTACAAATCACTATTAAACCTTGCCATACAATTACCTTTTGAAGGAAATTAAACCTCTGAATATTAACCATCCTTTAAATATACCCCAAAATTAATTGAAAAAAAAAAGCCAGCCATTTTTCGCGTTATGAACTGACATAATGCCCAAGCAGTGTGGGAGATGTATATATCATCTTATTTTAGTAGTCTGGGCTTGGTAGTTAGACTCAAAATAGTTTTATAAATTTCCCCTGGTCATTGTATTCTGTTATTTGGTATGTGACTCCATTAGATTGGGTTTAGGATAGTGGGGTTACCAGCAAATAACTTGAATCCTACATTAATTCCTGTATTATGATAGTATTTGAAATGTTATTACTGTAGGAGAATTATCCAGGATCAGTTAAAATTCGGTTATAAGTCATTTCTTAATTCTCACCAGTTTCATGGTCAGACCTCATAAATCATGCTTTGCATTTGGGTTCTAATTTGAAATTCCCAATTGGATGCAATGCTTTGGATGTATGTCATTAATCTGTAATAAATTACTACACAATATAATTTCTAATTATTGCCACATTGTAAGTAATGTAGTCACATCATCACTGATATTTGATTCACAATAGAGTGCAAATGTACTCTCTTGCTTTGTTTCTTTCCAAATTCCTTTTAAAAGATGTTCTGACCACTATAAACCTTGCACATCAAGATTTTTAAGTTTGTTATTATTGATAGCAGTTTTTTTCATACACTTGCATGCCCCTCTTAATACACAAGAAATGGTGTTTGAAAGTTGTTGAATGATGTCACAAATTTTTTTGGATTTCAGAAGTTTTGAAGTTGGTCAATTTGTGTTTCTTGTACAAATAATCCGTAGTTGCCATAGCTGATTTAAAATTGTTTTTGGAGCCATTAAAAAGTTCGTTTGTGTTTCATGAAAGTAACCTAAAATTCTGTGCAGAAGAGATGATTTTGATATTTTAAGATTAACAAATGTGTACCTTACATGGATTGTTTCATTAAAGAAGTGCTTCTTCTTAAAATAAAGCCAAACTTCATTTTAAATTTGGTTTTTATTGAGCCAACAATATTCAAAGAAGAAGACCAATTTCCATAAAACCACAATTAAATGGTTTAGAAAAGGAAAAAAAGGAAATTTCTCCCCGATAATTGAGCTTTTAAGAACCAGACTAATTTATTCATCTGATTCACATTTAATTTTATTCACAAAACTTTTTGTGGTTAAAGCTATACATTGAATAATTCATTAAAAATGAAACAAGATGATTGGCTGTATACCTGACCTGTATTACTCAGAAATTACTTCCAGTACATTAATATGCAAATTGCTGCCAGATCTGGTAGAATTTCGGTTGCTTTGTTGTGAAATTTTATTGCAAATTTTTTATTGAATTGCCATCTGCCTTTCTAGTCGGAAAGTTTCTCTGAAATGAAGGTTGAATTCACTGCACTATGCAGAGGTTTGAGGAAGAGAAGATTTATTTGGTGTGTTTTTCAGACACCATTTCCAGCACAACAGTAAATTATGGGGAACAAAATGTACCGTACATCTGTCCCTATTCATGTGCAGCAATATTCTGCCCCTGCTGTTATCCAGTTGTACAGCGTCAGGTAAAATAAATTATCACTTAATACACACTGTAAATGTTCATCTGCCAACAAACTTAACTCAATTCCATCTTAGTGCAGAAGCACTGCCTGGCAAATTTTCTTGTCTCAGCAATCATGATTGAATGTTTTCTTCTATTGATTTTAAATCCAGGTTTTTCCTTAGTAATTGTAATGTTTTGGAACAGAGCTGCACAACTTTTGCTGAATGACAGACTGTTTTAATTTTTGTTTTATTTTTTGAGGTTAAAATGCTTAAAGTGTTGATGTTTTGGTTTAAAACATTGAATATATCTTATGCAAATTTTTTGTTCCTGTCATATGTAAGTTAACACTTGGAGCTTAAAAGTGGTGTTAATATTCTGCATGTGATGATGAACACTTTTCTTCGTATGATTTCTGCTGAAAGTTTGTATTGTTGAACAATATTTAGTCTCTTGACAACTGGACTTTTGAAATGTTTCTTGATCATACAAAGCAGAAAATGACATTTTATATGTACAGCAGTAAATCAACTTGTGTGTAGCAGGATACAGCAGACACACTTAATCTTGTTGGTTGCTCCTCATTTATTAAATGTAAATAAACTGACACCAGAAATGACTGTATCATTTCCCCTTTCACTTCATTTTTCCTGATTTGAATTTCATGAGAATTTCAATTACTTCAGCATGAAAGCCTATATTCACTAAGAATACAGACTGAGAGGATAACTACAATATATTTAGTAGCTTAATTGTGGTTTAGCCACCTGTAGTGAATTGTGGGATTTGTTTACATAAGACAAGGGCTTGGCTACCCTAGCAGGTGTTATGGTAAGACATGCAGGTGTCACTGGTGTTCACAGTCAGAAAGAATCAAAGCTCCTATAGAGCAAGTCTGAACAAAGAATTAAATTATGTCTTGCCACTCTCTCTTTCATGGAACTAAATTCTGTTTTATTTTGGTCAAATTAAAGCCATATCTATCATTCTTGAGTATTTTTTTATGCTCTGATCTAGTCTTTATGCCCTGTTGGACCAATAGAGAAATGCTATGGGTCAGAAATGGGTAATTAGCATATGAAAGGCTTAAAGTAAAGCTATTGTTTGCTTAGAGGCCAAAAGTCTCATCTGAGAGCATGGTTTGGTGACATTTTAGGGTGGAAAAAAAGATTCTACCATAATATTAGGCTACTGCATGTCTTACTTTGTGGTCAAAAGATTTTTTCCCACAAGCTTCTAATTTTGATCAGCAATTTCACGTGCAAAACATTGATGAAATTCAAATTTCCTGATTCGTTTGTCTAAGACAAATTCTAATTCATTCAAAGATCAGCTGATATGTAAATTTGGTATAGATTTTGACATGTACTTTTTCTACCAATCTGTAGAGAAAATTATGTAATTTTTTTGCCTTTCAAAGATAGAGAAACATCAATACACATCCAGAAAATGTCTTGTTTATTTTGATTTGACTTCACTAAAATTTTCTTGCTTGATCACTGCCTTACAAATGGTATTAAATTATAATGAAGTAGCTACCAGCCTCCATTTGTAATGCTGTTTTTTACTGATCTCTTCAAAGGGATTCAGTAATTTAAAATTGAATTCAGGATTTTTTTCTGAATGTACTTGGTTGCTTAGAGAGGAAAACTCATGTACTGAGTGATCTGGATGTGATGTTTTTGTTCTGTGTGAGAGTATCATGCCAAGAGAAGATTCTTTATGGACCTAAATGGATCTCAATTGAGGAGACAAGCACACTCTGTGATGTTTTACGTTGTGCTACAGGAGATAAATATGTTTCAAGGAAACTCAAAGTTGTGGTGGCCAGTGAGAAGTCTTTGAGGGATCTTTCTTTTGTGAAGCTGGGTCTTCCAGTGGTGATTTTGGATAAAAATGACAAGAAGATTGTAAGCTTTCTGTTGAAACCTGAAGGAGTTGCTGGTGTGGTAAGCGATGAACCCTATCTTGTGTTGATTTCACAGGCACAGAGCTAGGTGATCTGATAGGTCTTTAGTGGTATAAATTGTAGGCTTTTTTTCCAGTGATATGAAAATTAGAGATTCACTTTTGATGTGATCGGTATGTTCAGATGCTATTATGATAATAGAATTTTAATCCTTGTGCAAGCCGAATAATTTTTCACAGTTGACAGAAGATGTAAATTTTCTTGTTTAGATGTGAAGTCATGTTGTGGAAGATTGAGTTTTCAGCTTTTGTAGCCAGCTGCTTGACAATTTGTCATGCTGTTTCCTAGTAACTCAAGTGTCAGAGTGTAGTAATGCATTTACTCAAAGTACATTTGTGTGGATTGCCAATGCAGTTAAAGGTCATGTTATGTTCTCAAGATGAAAGAAAAAACAACAGGATGTGAAATTGTTAAGTCATATTTCAGTATATATAGCTTCAAAGGCAAAGGTTGAAAAGCTTCATGGAGCAGGATTACCATTAAATACAGTGATATATTGGCCAAGATTTTAAATTGAATGTAAACAAATTTATGTCCAAGAGTTGTCTGGGCCGGGATAAATGTCTTTAGACCAGCATGTAATCCATTTGCTATCAAATTATTCAGTTTTTTAAATTTTCCTATTTTCACCTTCCATGAATTCAAAAAGACTTTGTAATTAGTTGTTTTATTTTTAGCTTCTGAGAAATATATAATATCTTTGATACATTTAAGTTAAAAAAATATTACACAACACTTTTGCGAACTCAGAAAGAAAAGTCTTCTTTTGCAGATTGTTTAAAAAATGTACAATTATAAAAAAATTGGTGAATTCAGTTTTTTGTATGATATGAATTAACAAACCTAGTGCCTGTGTTATTTGTCTCAGCTTTCTGTTTGGGCAGATAACTCAGATCTCGGCATCAATAACTCATGATATCATGCCCAACCTTATTCAGTAATTGCTTATTACAGTGTCATGGTCCTCATGTCTCATAATTTATGTTCATTGGAGTCCTGTCACTAAAATCCAAATTATTATTTATCTGTTGAGCAGAATTTATACTATGGTTGCCTTTGAAATAATCCTAAAATATTTTCCTTAACCATGTACACACTCAAATACCTTTCGTGTGGAGCCACTTCCTTACAGAAATGGGCACTCAGTTCTCAGTGATGGCAAACATTATGAGAGACAGCAACTTGACGAAAATGAACATTCAATGGAAACAGTATGGGAGGTGGAAAAAAGCTCTGATTTATTAAAAATAAATCTGTAATGGCATGGTCCACCTTTTTTCTTTCTTTCAATATGACCAGTAGGGCTGGCCATTGAAATTAATTGAAATGTGTTTCTTTTTTTTTCAGCCCCCTTCTGAGAGGAAACTCTCTATCCAATCAGCTGCTCAGCAAACTAATTCAGATGAGGATGGTTGTCGTTCTGGAACCCCAGACCAAGATGTTCTTGTGTACCATGTAAGTTAAAATTGTATTGATTTATTTTATTGATTAATTCTGTTTACCTTATGATAATAATTATGGTAAGAAACTCTTGGAATATTATAGGACAGGGTGCTCAACAATGGGATGAATTGGAGGGTATAGGGTAATGATGTAGGGTTTTACATGCCGACAACCAGACAAACAAACATGTTTGGTGTTCTGGGGCATAGGTAAGAGTGTTTCCCTTTCTGGCAAACTACTCCTCGTTTACTTTTGTACTTGGCAAAGCCCAAGATTGTTTTACCCTTGTTTTTCTGCAATGGTGATGGATGGCTGTCTTTTATTTGTGGTTGCAGAGTTTCTATTGTGCCCTGTCAATTACTTAATTGTTATTTCATGATATGTTAGCACTTTTATTGTTAGTGATACTCGCTTTGCATAGAAAATGCTTGCTGACTTATTAGCAATCTTAAAAGGTGATAATTATTGGTAGGTCTGATTTCTTTTTCTAAGCCCTGCAAATTGGTGGTTGATTTGGGAAACTTAACAATTACACACCATCTTTGTATAAAAAGTTGACTATCAATCTCATAGCAGATGTTCTCTTAATTTTTGTTGTTGTAACAGTTTTCTTTTTTTCTGCAGGGTGTTCCTTCGCCTCACTCGCCCCACTCTCCTCACTCTCAATACCACCCTCCCTACCCCCACTATCCTTACATGACGCCAATGTATCACCACCCACCCCCTGTGATGTGTCATTGCCCGTCATGCGCTGGACATAGGTCACCAGTCCACTCCCCCCATGGTGGTGCCCCTATGGGAAGGTTTGTTCATCATCAGATGGGGTCACATACAAACTGGGCCCACGGGCCGGCAGCAGTAACAGGATTTCAAGTCAGGTCAGTTTTGAAAACATAGCAAGCTATTTTAGTGAAAAGCCACTAGAACATCTTTCTATATTTCCTTTCCGAGCTTAAAACTAACCATTTTTCCTAATCTATATACAAAATATGATGCTATCGACATTGCTTATCCTAGCAGTATACAGGACGCGTGTCGTATATGAACTTCGTGAACTACCCATCGTAGAGTCTCTGTGGCTCAGTGGTAGAGCATCAGAGCACGGAATCCGAAGGTCTGAAGTTCGATTCCTCATGGGAACTCAGAATTTTTTCTTTGTACCACGCTTGTGACAAGATGAGAAACATCTTTCTCAAGCCATTAGAATATTTGCCTTGTTTCAGGTTAAGGACCTTTTTAATATAAGCTGTATCTGAGAGGGGGGATATCAGGTCTCCTAGCCCAGCGGTCTAACTTGCGACCCTTATTTGTCGCGATGGCGGGTAGAAAAAAATTCTGGCAACTTAATTCGCAGCGAAAGTCGTGAATGTGGCCATCTGTGTACAACGGTCATATAGCGAGCTGTATGGGGTTTTTTTTTTTACGAAAGGTATCCCTTTATATCCTAGTATCCGCTCCATATTCTCCACCCAGTTCCTATATATTTCCCTCGGTAACGACAAGGAGAATTCCTTTAACAACCAAAGCCTCTTAGGTTGGCGATCATTTCCTTTATTATCATGATCTTAATAAATGATACAGAAGTATTACTGTAAGGAGAAATTAGATGCTGGTCGCTCTTGGTTTTAATTGGGTTTAAATACAAGACTGTTATGATGGTCCTTCGTTCTCTTATTTAAAAAATGCTACTGGTTGTCCGAAAATTCAGCCTCAAATATTTGCATGAACTTTTTTTTTTTGTCCGACGACCAGGTTTTCATAACCGACAACACTTTTATGATTTTAGGTCGCAAGATGGCGACTTTGAAAGAGTTGTGCTCGAAGGCCAGCGTAGAGAAGTGAATTATTTTCTTAGGATACACTTCCTGGAAATGCGTTACTAGTCGGAACAGCTTGCTATTTACTTAGCCTACGCTACCCTCCCCCCTCCTCCCTTCCGTTTCACCTTGGGGGGGGGGTGGGTATGGCCACACGTAGGCTACTACTTATTATCCACAGGTCATATGTTATGTGATTCACATATTATTTTTTAAAGTTCTAACTGTACACTTAATATGACTTTCTGCACATGTACTTAGTTTTGTTAATTTAATTGTGAGAGAAGAAATTGATCCTTGTAGCCCTACGTAGCTGCATTAATTGCTTTGTTTATTTATTTTTTTTTATATTGTTTATGATAGTAATGAAAATGCGTTTTGTTTTTCTTGTCAGACCGAGAATACAAAGGCCCTTATCTGGTGAGTAGACGATTGTTTTGATTTCTTTTTCTGGCTGTGATCATCATTGACGACATTGGATTCAATATCTGTAGCTGCGAGAATCTGTAATAATCGTGTGCTGATAAACACAAATGGCCCGATTTCAGTTTCCCTATTAATGCACTATAGATTTTTTTGTAATGAATTTTTTATAATGGAAAATCAGGTTGTTCCATTTTTCATCTATTTCTGCGTTTGTAATCTTAGCCGGGGATGTGTTAGCCTGCGGATAGGCCTCATTTTTGGTGTTTCTGGCGCGAGCCTTTCTTCGCATGCTAGAGAGATTGAGGAATTGAGGTCTGGCGCTAATAATTATTGGCGCCAGACCTCTTGCCGGCTAATGCTTCAAACTTGAAGGAGCTCTCTCCTCACTATTTTCCCTTTTGTTACACAGTCCCTGCTGAGAAACATGACATGTTAGTAAAGGGCAGTCCCTTGTATGGACAGCCTCCGTGGTGGGGCTGGGGCTCATCAGACGACGAGGTTTACAATTACCCAAACACTGCCACAATTCTGGAGAGCGGCGACGATCAACAGCCTCTTGCTCTGAGAAAGAAGAAACTCTCTAAGAAAGACGCGCTGGAAATGGCGCAAAGGAGGCACAGCATTGGGACTGTATCGGTGTTGTCTGAGTCCAGAGCACGGATTGTCACAACAAGGACTTCTAAAAACCCCGAGCTGGACAAGGCGATGAAGCAACGAGAGGAATTTGTTGTCTTTCAGAAGAGGTCTTCTCTACCAGGGCCGGGTCATAACGAGCAGTTATCTCCCGTGTTTGAAAATTCTACCAGTAGAGACTGGCAATTACCAAATGCGCTTCACGAGCCGGGAGAGCTTGATTCGACGTCTTCGGTGGAGAATTCTTCGGGTGACGGAAGCGAAGTGCACCCTAGACTCGGGTCTTCTTACGAAGTTCCTTACATACCGGACTATGATGAACTTCCAGAAAGGCCTGTAAGTCTGAAAAGCGATAAAGGTAAAATAGCATCCCAGGATGCTTCACGGAAGGGTTCATCAGAGAAGCAAGAGAGAATTGCAAGGAAAAAACCTACCAGTAAAGTTAAAAAGAAAATTGTTTCCACTGATGTCCCGGCAAAGAACGGAAAAGCATTGTCAGGTAAATTGGTGTTTCTATGTTTGTATAGATTCTCTTCCTTTTCGTTTTTTCCAGAGAGTTTAGGAAGGTGAGGAAGGGCGAGGGTTGCTAAGAAGGCGGGTGTGGCTGGGCGTGTTTATTTATCTTCATTGCCTTGCAATAAAGAACGGGAGGTGGGAGAGGAAAAAGGGTTGAATGGGAGATTCTCACACCTTCCCCCACTTCCCTCCTAAGAACCAGGAGAGGTTTTCACAACGTTTTCGACTCTTCTCTTAAATTGGGGAAAAATTAATCCTCTCAGAAAGAAAGTACACTCTCTAAACAGGAGATACGCCTTCAGAAAATTTTAACTGAATACATCTCATATCATCGCGCAAAGACCAGATATGAAGCTATTGCATTTTCGTACTTACAGACGTTTGGATGATAGTGGCTATAACCTAACACCCAAATCAGGTATCATGCTGAATTCCATATTTTTCACGCATGAAAACATTTCTTCCCTCTCTTAGAACTGACATATTATTCCATGTTAGAACTTCTTGCTTTTCTCACTTATGCCGTTCTGCGATAAAAAATGAAAATTTATTTCAACTTTTTGGAATTAACGTTTTGACTTCTTACAATGTCATCCCTGATTCAAACATAAAGGTCAAGTGAATATGGGAATATATCTTCTTGTCAGCACCTTAGGAGGAAATATCTAGAGAATATTAAGGAGAATATGCACATTGATGTAAAGGTGGAAGAGAATTAACTTCAGAATAAGAACTTTTCAGTGTACCCTTAAACAGAAGTACACTCCTAAAGGGGTGAGGGTTGTACAGAAAGAGGAAGAGGGAGAAGAGGTTTAAAGATTGATTGTGGATGGGTAATAATTACTTTTTCTGTTCTGTACAGGCTCCAGAAAACATTCAAGTGATACCAGTGAGTCTGAGTACGAGCCGACCTCACACCCTTCACGTCGATCGGGATTAGCAGCTGTCGCTTCCCCTTCCTCCATTGGTGTGTTTGGTCTGACGGAGGTGACTCTCGGTGAATCCGATAGACAAGAGGTTAGTTCGTTGCTAGCTTGAGAGGAAACTCTCATTAGAGTTCAGGCACGACCGGCATATCCTGCGAGAATTGAGTCGGGGAACGAATCTAGAGCTCTAAGAGAGGTCTCATTTCCATGCCAGACCCCTCGCAAACCCCTCGCAGCTCGCATCGCCACTGCCATGAAGCATGCGGGCTTCGCCGTTAGTGTGGCAGCGCCAATGAACAGGATTACAGCGCACATTTTGCGTGACAGCGGTCGTTCTTATGTTCTCCTCTTGAAATTTTGCGCGGCTGGCCAAATTGTATCACCTGCGCATGCTTGACCGCTGTGTTGCCTGCAGACTAGTTCTACCCAGGGCTGAGAAGCTCCACGACTTGTCATGAAGTTTATATATCTTTTTCTCTTTTTTTAACCACAGTATTGTGCAGAAGTAAAGAGAACGAAATTTGATAATTGAAAGTCAACGGTTCTCTTTCTTCTGTCGTGCTGTTTATATATATTTTTCTTATTATTTTTACCCTAACTGCTCGACTTCTTAAGGAGATTTTGTCCTTATTAAAATTGATGTTTTTTCCGGCGTAAAACGAAAATATAATTGTGGCCTTGGACGTATGACTCTCCAAATATTTCTCACCACTATCCTGGACATTCTGCGGTCAAGTTGAACATAATTCTGTTTAAACTTGATAGGCACTATCGCCAGCCCCCCTTCCAAGTTGGGTAAAACAGTGGACGAATTCTACAAACGATCGTGGTAAGTTATGTTAAAGGTTATCATTTTTCGAAAAAAAGAAAAATTGTTGGACGAATTACACTCTTAGATGAAATGACACACTGAAATAACATCTTCATCGCTTCAATTTTCCCATTCATCCTTGCTATTGTATAACTGCCTGTGCGTTTAGTTCTCAGGGGAAATAACGCATACAGAGCTATTACAAGTGTTATAATAGAGTATTTGAATAGAAGGATGATCATCATTACACGGCTTTATTGAACTGTCTAATTAATGCCTCAACCACAAGAAAGCTTTTGCTGGTAATAGAACTGAAACCCAATGTGCTCTCGCGGTTATTATCGTATCAATAACTTTTGGTTTGTAGTTAATGATCTACTAATGTTGATTAAGCTTTCTTGAACATGTCGCTTGTCACAAAGAGTGTCATTGTTTTCGCAGAGAACGCTTCAGTTTATCCAGTTGAGGTCATCGATTCATCTAGTACGGCTGAAGAGTCTGCGGGAAGCAGTGCCATGTCTTCTTCGAGTCACATTCCAGTTCCTATAGAATCTGAAAATTCCGGTGAGTGTAAATATTCTGTCTGTAAACACAATAGATTCGTAACGTGTTGCTTGTTTAATGAATCTATGCATCGGGGACCCTTTTTTCCAGGAATTGTAAACTTTATGCATAGGTTTGGCGCAGAGGTATTAATTATAAATCCCTAAGTTTGTTTTTCACATGATCAAGTTGGAGGATTATTACTTGTCTGCTAAACTAAAGCTATTGTAACGTACATGTGTAGATTAGTTCGGTGTGTTCTTCATCAAGTAATAATTTTAATATTCCTGTTGTCTGGTCTTCTCTGCTTTGTGTTCATTTATTTCATTTCAAAAATTCGTTCCTCGCTAATTTGTTTCCGTCAGAAAAACGCAAGGATTGAGTTTTTTTTTCTTTTGCTGTGGTCGAATGAATGATTTAAGACGCCAATGGCTCGCTCTTGAAATGTGTAGAAGATGTTCGGTGGAAGAGTACAAAGATTGAAGTTATTTTTAATACCTCTCCCCGGGAGATGATTGGCGTTGTTCTTTCTTTTTTTTTTCTTTTCCTTTTTTAAAAAAAAAAAGATACTGAAATGGTGAAATACTGTGTGAGGAAAATAGATGCTTGTGGTCAGTTTTGTTATTCCAACGAAACAGCGCTGCACTGTCTGTCGAAAGCGTCGAAATAATTAAGATGTTTTCACTCCAAGAAGGGTCTCATGATAAAGTTATGTTAGTGATGAAAAGAGGCTCTTTTTGAGCCTGTTCTGACGAGCTTCGTTGGTCACGCAACGCTTTAGTCTAAAGATGTATTCCGTAAAGAATGATTCAGTTTTCGTTTTTCTTTATTTTCATTTTATTATTACTTTTTTTACAAATTTAAACCGTACGAGCTATCCTCTGTCTATTAAATTTTAGAAACAGACTGCATTTGAGAAAGAATCCTTGGCTAGAGGATCGAAGAATGTTATGTCACGCTATAGAAGGGGGGGGGGGGGAGGGGGAAGGAGAGGAGTAGGAGTTCTACCCACCACTTGTTCCCAAGGATTTGCAACATCACGCATGCATATATATAGCATATGGTTAATGGAAAAGTTCAGCTACCTAATGAAATAAATATACATGTTTTTTTTAATATTGTCACTGGCGCGGGGACATAGAGAAAATCTGAGTAACCGTGAGAAATCAAACCTCAGACCTTCGGATTTGTTTGCTTTCATGCTCTACCACGGAGCTAGGCTGTTACCTAGTAATAGCTTTGCTCTCCGTTGAGTCCTCTGTAGCTCAGTGGTCGAGCATCGGAGCACGGCACTCCGAAGGTCTTGGGTTTATTTCCTCATGGGCATTCAGATTTATTCTTTGATCCACGACTATATGAGTTTCCGAAGAAAAACGAAACAAAACAACGAATGCCTTTTTTAAATAGTTATGGGGGGATGTTTGTCTTAATTGATTCACTCACATCTTTTAGCTCCATGTTTTACAGAAGACAAGTCCAAACCCATCAAGAGCATTTCGTCATCGAGTCTAAGCAGACCAAGGTCGGCAACATCGAGAACGGCATCGGTAAGGACATTAAAAGATCAACGATAAATTCCTGTTCGTGATAATTTTTACATAATGCTCCATCTATTATGTGAGATACCCCTGACATAAATTGTTCCAGCACTAGGGGAATACAAATAAACTGCTTCCAGATTCTAACATTCCGGATGTTCTAATTTGTCTCGCATAATTGCACATTATCAGAGATCAAGAAGAGCCCGTCGGCAAGATATTGGACGCAACACTCTTCCTATGAACTTTTGCAAACAAAACAGTAAAAAAATCTCCTAAAACGGACTCCTTCCCTCCCTTCCCCCAACAGTAAAAATTATGTTCTCATCAAAATAGTCAGGTCACATGCCCATCATACTATGACTTCATGTGCTTCCTACTCATTGAAAAATCCCCACCCTCCCCCTCCTTAGACCTCGTTCTTAAAACATCAAGATCTGTTACATGATGTATCTTATCTTGCATCCCCTCGTGAAAGTTCCTCCACGGTGAAAATAATTTTTTCTCAACCTCGGCATTAGGTCGGTTATTACGCCTCAATTTGTTTGTTTGTTTGTTTGTTTTTTTTCTTTACTACGGTTTTTCGCCTAAACCGTTCGTCATTACATGATTATTTGTCAGTTGAGAACTGGAGCGAGAGAGGAAGTGACGCCATTTATTCAACAGTTTGAAATTTGAATTCGGTAGAACGGCAACTAATTTCTGACAACTTACTTCTGACATTTGTTCTGACGAAGGGCTGAGGCTCCAAACGTCAGCTTTAGAAACTCTATACGGTGGCCAATTTACATTATCAATTCGGGTGATAAAACCAAATTATCTGGTAACTTCAGGAAGCACGAATGCTACAGCAAAAATTCACTGGGTGCATGGAAAGGAGAAAAAGTCCATTTTTTAAGTAAGCAATTTTTAAAGGAAATAAAAAAGCGTTGAGGAACCAATAGCAAACCATTTTAATATGACTGTCTCTTTTAATCTTTGCAGCCTGGTGTATTACGAAGCCAGAGTATGTCTGCTGCTAATATGTCCTCCTCTCCGAAGTCTGCGTCCTCCCCAAGAGTGGCGCGGAGTAAGACCATGTCTGCTGTCGTGCGGCGGTCGTACCCGACTGCTGCCAACGAATTAGAGAAGAAACCAGTTGACAACGCAAGGGGAAGGGCTGTGATAAGCAGTACTTCAGATGATAGCGATGTGGAATCAAGCGACGCTTCCCAGACGAGACAGACTAAAGAATCGCGAAGGAAGAGCGACGAGTCCGATAAGAAGGGAGTTCAGCTTATTCCTGAAAAGGAGGGGAAGCGACCGCTGTCGGCCCCCCGCCCCAACAAGACAGCTATGCTGAGAGCGTATAACAGCCGAGAAGCTGTGAAGAACAGTGGGGTTAAGAGCAAGACTGCAGTATCGGCGAAAGCGAGGACTGCTAAGAGCTCATCGCCGAACAATGGAAATTCAAGTGAATCTTCGCCGTCTGCGAGAGTGTGGAGTCCAAGTGTGAAAAGATCAACAAAGTCCTCTTCGGGCGATAGTATCCGTGAGGAAGAGGAGAATGGTACCAATTGTAGCTCGCCAGCAAGCGATGACGTCACTCAGGAGGCGATAGACCAGGTTTTTTCTTCAGGCTCAGTCCAGCAACTTCCAGAGTCGCTTATAATGAAGCGGGATGATAATGTTAACAAGACTTTTGTGCTCGGTAAGGGGTTGCTCAATTAATTCATGACACTCGCGTTTTGAATTCGGCTTATTTTAACTTTTCTCGTTTTAACGCTGTTAGCTTATTGGCCAGAAATGTACTTTGATGTTGCCTTTCGAAATTGCGTTTCCCATTTTGCACTCCTTCGAAAATCACATCATCGAGAAGCTGTGCTAGGCAACTGGTGTAAAAGTTATTACAAGTTATTAATTAGACACGGGGACGAATGAACCATTTCTCACCAATTTTTCATTCTAGTACTTCACCTATTAATATAAAGTCTGTCCAGAGCTAAAGAAGGCTACAAATTACTAGGCCAACTAAAAAGTAATATTGTCCTATGGAAACCTGCGTGTTTCTGTAATTTTTCTTTAGCAATTCAGCCCAGTTGTTTGTTTGTAGTTACAGTGCAACCATTCTTACCAGTGTCGATTATGCAAATTGAGCGATGAATTCTCGCTTAATTTTGAGTCACTGTGATATTTGCTTAATTTGGTTGCAAGCTTTGATTAGCGCAATCAATTTGAGCTGAAATCTCCCTTCATTTCCTTTAATTTCAATCTTTATGAGAGGTTCTGCCAGCTGTTTTTATTTTTTCACCAAACTTTTGTTTTTTTCTTAATCAGATGACGGTAATGAGGACAATTCTGTTTCATCTCCCGAAGACACGTCCGTACAAGCATGGGTCGGCGAAGCAGCCAGTGGTGAAAACGTTCTTGAGTGTAATGGCGTCGTCACGAAAAACACTGCACCGATGTCTCCGTCTCGTGAAGAACCAACGGAGATAAAACTTGAAACAACCAACACTAAAGGAATCAGCTTGCGTAGTAAGCTTATACCATTTGCACCCTTCTTGGAAAACCAGTCATACACACCCCCCGTGTCTGATCTTCCTTTTGAACCTCCCAGTGACTCAGCCGACGACACATCCGGGAGGTCTCGTTGTTCTACAGCAGAGAGTAGGCCTATTTCGCCGGAGTCAGCGGTTTCGACCGCACCTGCTGCCTCCCCCTCGCCACCTTTGACTCCGAACTCTGCAGCAAAGAAAACATTTGATTTTAAGGGGGGAGCAACATCTTCGCAAAGCAGGAGGCAGTGGGGTGTCACTGATAAGGTAAGGCCTCGTTCGTCCGACTCTTGTTGACTTGCGTAGGGTCTCCTAACACCCGGTATCTGGGCTATTTCGAAAACATTTTTTGCCTTTATTTTCCTTATCAGCTTCCTTCTCAGTTTCTTAGCGAAGATTTAAACCCGATTGCTGTCCATATAGACGGCAAAATTTCTCTCAGCTAACGAGATAAACAATGCGTAACCTTTGAGGTTCCGTCGAGGTTTTCTAAACCGATTACCAAGATCTCAGTAACCGTTCCAACCCGCCTTCTCATGTAAACAAACTTTAATTGATTCTGCAAACTAAAACAGCTCAGCTCATATTAAGAAGTTCCCCAGCTGAGCCCAGTTTTGCTTTCTGCATGATTTCAATTTGGTACAAGGTAAAATTAATGAAAATAACCGGTATAACAAATTGGATTAAGCTGTGGTACAAATTGTTTTGGGCATGTTTGCCTTTCTTACCCCTGAGCTTGCTATTTTTCCTTTGAATCTCATGAAGAGAGACATAATCTTCGCTAACTCAACTGTATAAGAAATATGAACGATTTTATTCAAATACACTTTCTATCATTGTGTTTTCAGCCTGTTGAGGATCTGATGTTGTCCTCAATTCACGCATTCTCCGTAGAGTTACGGCTAGCTTCGGAGTCCGTGCTTGGCAAAGTGAAGTACGTAAAATATTTGTCTTCATCGGTCAGAAAAAATCCTCTCTGCGTTTCTAGAACACACGAACTTAAAGCACTGACATTACGATAATTTAATTTTATATTTAACTTTGAATATAATAAGACCCTGAAGTGTTTTTTTCTCGGATGGGAAAACAAGAAGGAACTTAGTAAAAGATGGCAGATATAAGAACAGACTGCAAATAACGATTTCGAGAAATCAAGGTTACAGCCTTGTAGTAAAATAGCACACGAAACGAATGCTAACTGAATGGTCGCGTTTCAGAACTCTGTACGATGGAAGCGAGGAGCTAAACGGCACTGCAAGGTCAAGGACGGATTCTGACGCAAAACAGGAATCCAAGAGTGCCATTCCAGATTGGAAGAGCTCTCACGCGGTAAGTGAATAATTAAGGCAAGGAAACTGAGTGTAGCACATCATAGCGTGGCTTGATGGTAGTGTTTCGCTTGCAATAATAGGGAACTAACGCTGTGAATACGACAACGCCGAGGAAAACATTAAATGAAAACACATTATTTTGTTCAGAGTTTCGCGGGTGTTTCCGTGCCAGAGCCGTTTTTAAAGGCTTCAGACCTCTTCGTCGGGATAACATATGGAGGTGTGGTCGAACTTTACTTACAAACACAATTGCAGCTCAACAGCAAACCAAACCGAACTGGTTTTCGAACGAAACAAAATTGGGTTTCAAGTTGCTGTTAAGCAGAGGACAACAAGGAAATCTACAAATTTTCAAACCGCACGTGCAGAGCCATTATTTTACCTAGTGTATCTTTTGTTGGAACACGCTCTCGTTTGCGCCAGGTCGTGAGAATACCTGCCAAAAGCAAACGATGCAAAACTCAACGTTAGAACACAAGTGACATGTCTTTTATCTTGATGTACTGCTTCTCCATCTCTTTTGTTTCCTCTGTAGCGTAATTTTACGGCACTTACTTGTTTTGGAGTTGTTAAGAAAGTTTCTTTTTTGTTTATTTTTGTTTTTTCTAACAGGAGATAGCTGGGATATTTCGAAACTTGCGAAAGGTTGAGCTTCGCCTTCGCAGTAAGTATGATTTGCTATCTTTTTGTCGGCCTAAACAAAGACAAATCTACTATTTTTGTTCGGGCTGGTGTGACGTGTGCATTTTACTTGTTTCCACCGGATCCTTTGTCATAGCATAGCGACAAAATCCTTCTGAGTCTAGGCTACGCCATTTCATTAATTATCCCTCAAGGCATATGCAGTGAGTAAGATTACTATCTCTATTTTTATCACCACTACAATTCCAATCTTGCTAATCATGTCTCTTTTTCAATGTTCAGCGATGGAGCAGGCCTTATCCATCATGTGTGTCGCAGCTCAACGGGACCCTAATCAGGTGAGTGCATCAATCGTTAAAACACAGACATGTAACACTTGTCGCTCCTGTTCTGAGTTCCAAAGCTGATGACAAAATTCCCATCTCCTGACCTGCCGTTGGCGTCTGAATGACGCCTAAATTGAGCTCATTTATCTTTGTTTCTAACGAACGATGCTTCTCATTTCAATATCAAACGGAAGCGCCTTTTATTAATCAGTGCACCTTTGTTTCTAGTCTTTCCAAGAGAGGAAGATTTCAATGGTGGAAACGTCTAGCCTGGGTAAGGAAAACTTATATGGTGGAAACCTTTGAGAAAACTTGGAATTCATTTCGTGTCACCGTTGTCGACGATTTTATCCTCTGGTACATCATTTCATTGTTGGTTTTTGTCTTTTGAGCTCAAAAGATGTTTTCCCTTTTCTTTTCTTGGTTAGCCTCAGGCCAAAAATGGAGAGAGTTTAAAATCAAGGCTCGCCGGAATTCTTGGGCAGTGGAACACAGAAGCCAGTTCCCAGTTCCACCGGCGGAATCTGACGAGGAGGACGAGGACACTTCGTGACTGGGTCATGAGATAAAATACTGGGAAATGAAGTAGAGCACTCGATCCCGCCTGGAAAAAAAAAGAGCTGAAAGTTTGTGAACGTTCGGGCTACGCCATTGTCAGTCTGTTGTTGATATTATGGAGGATTGCGGTTGGCAACGAAATTGTTTTGAATAAGTAAGTTCACTTTTCTGAGGAAGGAAAAGAAGGAATTGCACTATTGATGTGTGGTAGAATTTTGACTGTGAATTTTTTTTTTTTTAATGAAAGATTCCGGAGAAAAGAATTTGTACATTTGCTTTTTATGAAGAAGCCAATTTTGTTCATTTTTGTGTTGAATATAGGAATCTTCGTGAAATTGCCATCTTAATGATGAAGCCAAATGAGCCGTAAATGTAAATGTATGGGAGAGCATTGTAAAAATTTCAATTGCTATTTAATGCACACAGATTATGGATGTAAAAAGATAAGATTATACACGGAATAAAGATAACGAACAGGAAAGTGAAACTCAGGAGAATTTCTTAGTACGTGACATCTGTTCGCCTGCTAATGAACACGGAATGGCACGTCCGTTTGCAAACAATATTAATCCCCTAATTTACCTAATTATTTATCTATTTTCGGCAGTCGTAGACCTTCCACGCCACGTTCTGAGAGTTCTACCCCTCTTTCTCGAATTCTTTCTCCAATCTAACAGCGAAGTTAGCTCTACAGAAATAAGTGTTTGACCATTGTGCGCGAGAAATCAGTAGGCGCAAGAATTCACTGTTAAATTGAAATACTCAAAACGCGTAAGAGTCTTCCATTTTCAACTTGTACATGTTTGATGATTGCAAAATCGTTTGATTACCTCGAGGAAGATTATTTCGTTAAGAATGAAGCTAATCCGATGCCGTTTCTTGATAAACGCCACCAGCCGATGGGAATTTTCCGGCGGTTTCTCCTGCAGCTTCTAGACGACTGCTTATTTCCCTCAAAAAAAACGGAGGAATTTTCTGGCGGTTTCTCCTGCGGCTTCTAGACGACCGCTTATTTCCCTCAAAAATATCAGAGGGAGAATCTCCCTGCTGTAGTGGAAGACATGTCCTACACAGGAAATTTCTCCCACTAATTTCCCTTTCCAATTCTTTAAGGCTCATTTTCGCGGCTCCGCGAGAAAAAGAATTCGGCCAATATCCAGCCATCTTGACATCACGCTTTCTTGATAACGCATATATTTGTTAAATATACTTGGGAGCTTTTAGCTTACAAGTAGCCGTACTCTACCCCCACCACCCTGGGGGGAGGGTACGGCTACACGTAGGCTAGGGGGGTTTATGATCAAGAGCGGTAAAGACAAATCATTTTGGAGCTAATTGTGTTTAATAACATTCTCAATTTTATCTGCTTGGGAAAACATACCTTATATTATCTTAAATTACTTAACTTAAATGTTTTCTATTCCCATGTCACAATTTACGAAAGTTGAATGCAATAACTTAATGGTGTCACACGCGAGGAACTCCTTTTGCGAGCGTGTGATCCACGCACTTTTGCGTGTGATCCACGCTTCCTTACCTTTAGACATTAATTTCTACTGCAAACAGTCCGCAATTTTAAGCTGCTCAATCCTCAAATTTCCAAAGCATTTTTGAACCCTTGAGGAAATCCCCAAGCTAAACACACTTCGGGCCACATTATAATTAAGTGTAAAGAAGCTAGAAAAGTGATAAACAAGCAAAATTTTCTCTAACAATAAATACAAACTCACGCGTTTCTTACGCTACATGCGATATTTACCATCATTTGTTTCAATTTGAGAAGTTTTCGGTTGAGTGTCGAACGTAATAAGGGATGGATTGGTTTGCTTTACTTTGCTCCGAAACTGGTCCTGAAAATTCGTGCCTCTTTGTCAACAAAACAGATGCAACACAAAAACCAATCACGACGTGTTCCCGGGCTTTCGGCAGTTTGGTTGTTTTATGTTCTCATTGGCTTTTAAAGGTCTTTTCCTTTCTTTTCGTTGGCCGCTGGGATTACTTTGACTATGGTTTAACGACACTCACGAGAAGTGCTTCATACGAAAATTCCATAGTTGGCAGAATTTGTGGAGCAGACCGATTAAGGTTAAAATATCTTGAAATATGTTTACGGCGATGTAATACTAAAACTGCATCTCCTTTCCAAGCTAGCTAGACTTGCAAGTTCAATGAATAAACAAAAACATCGCCGCAAAACATAACTAAACAAAAGATCGCGTAGATTCTTTTTCGAACGCATGAATTTGAATTTTTTTTTTCGACTTCAATCTAACTTGCCTAGAAAACTCGTACCACCCTCTTACCTAAATCAAATGTAAATTTAACAAAGGCGTCTTTGCCACTCATATTTTCTCGCGCTTTCTACAGTTCACTTGTTTTCCATTCGTTATCATTGGCTCCCTGCAATATTTCGTTTGTTTTGATTGGTTGTTGAAATTATGGCACCTTCTTGAAAAACAAGACCAGGACACCAGAAAAAAAAGAGCTTGAGATAGAATGATCAATAACTTGCGATGCAATACGTCACTATATACACGCTGTCTAGAATTAAAAATTAAGCGAAACGACTTTTGGACAAAATATGACAATGGTAAACTGTAGTGGCCCGATCAATTCACCTCACAAGGTTTAACCATCCACTCTGCTTGCGCTGTGGAGTATTTCAACTCAAAGTAAAGAACGCTCGACGTATAAAGCAAACTGTCGTCACAAGATACGGGCTCTCTAAATTTCAATTTTATCAGTTGGCGTAAAGAAAGCAGGACTGCAACTCGCTGATCTTTCTAAGCGACTCATTCGCGGGTTACTGGCCGTGGCCGCTTTCGCGAGTCCTTGTGCTTTCGAACTTCCTAACTCAACCGACAATGAGACCTTAGTCTCATCAAAATATACACTATTAGTTCTTCTTGGACGCGGCTTCGCTTTTCCTTTCACTCCTTCAACGATATATTGTCCATCTATATCACTGTAACGCGTCGTAATCCGTTTAGGGTCCACCCCTTGGGGAATGGGAATAGCTCTTGAGAATTTCGCACCCTCTGCACCCTTGCCGTTTCTCTGAGACCGCTTTCCTTGGAGTAACACGTGCTCTCCTTCGACCTTCCATGTTATGTTCTCCGGGCGGTAGACCCCTATGTCAAAACACGCAAGACGGACAGTTTCTCCAGGTGTTTCAGTGCTTTCTTCTCCCACTGAAAAGAATTCCGAGGAAAAGCCAGGCGACTTGAGAATATCAGATAGGATTCTTTTGCTGTCACTGGAAAGGCTGTGATAAAGAACAAACGAGTCAGTAAGCTGCTTGAGAAAGAGTCTCAAAAATGTCGTGACTCCAACAATCTTAGATGACCTGGGAAGTCACAATGGCGTCAGTTTTTGCTTTACATTGTTCTGTGATTGGTCTAGCAAACTAACCTGCGATAGACTCGAAGCTATCTCTTAGTTAGCATCACCAATGGTTGACAGCCTAAAATTTTGGCCGGCCGCGCGCCAATTCCTGTGCAAATATTTTGTAATGAACGCATGGGGAACAAAAAAAAAAAAAGGAATGAAACGTTTAAAGAATCAGAAGAAGGAAAAAAGGAGGGAAAAGAATTCGAGTCTTTTCAAACACAAAGCTCATCTAATCACGGGTAATCTGTTGATTTACAATTTCGTTTTCAGCTCTATCGGAAGAAGATGAACGTTTTAACCGTAATTGACTGGGTCGTGTAGTTGTTTATATCTCTAGTTACACTAATTGGTTTTGACAGCCTATCAAAAGCAGACGACCTGGGCTTTACAACGCTTGCGCATGCGGATACATTTGACTGCTGTGTTGCCACAGGCTATTGCAGACCCGTGTCACTCTCTCAACTGATTAGATACCGAAAAAGGAAAAAACCCAATTGTTTTCGCTCTGACGAGGGCTAACGCTCGAAACGTCAGCTTTGAAACTATTTACGGCAGTCAATTTGCGTTATCAACTCAGTTTGCTATACCGAGTGACCTTGTTCTTCTCTTCCACCGACGCAGCACCACAGTTTCTTTAGAAACTTACCCCCTTACCTCGCCGGATTAGGAAAAAAAATTACAGACTGCAACTCAGCTAATTTAAAGTGTAAACCAAGTGTAAACATGCGGTAAAAACTATAGTTATTGCGTCTAAGGCAAAACAACTCTGAATATCTCAACCTCCGATGAAGTTACAATTAATAATTAAGAGGTACTTTAGATGAATCGAAGCAGAAAAAAAGCGAAGAATCTAGAAGTTGCATTGAGCTTTGAATATCTTTGTCTTATTATCACAATAATAATTAGCAAGTCATATTTATTCAAAACTTTCTTCACCTCAAAACCGATCTTGATTTACCGTGAAAATAGGTCTCGTTTGCGCTGGATTTGAAGCGTTCTAATAAAGACAACACCCTAAATGATAATTTATAAAATCAACCAATCTCTAAAAATTACGTTCTGAAGAGAACCTGGAAGGATAAGATCAGATTTCAAAAGTATTTATGGCTCTAATTTTGTGTTGCTCATTACTTCTGACATCGACGCTGCTGATCTTAGTAGTACGCAGGACGCTTATCATATGAACTTCGTAATAGACCTAGCTCCATCGTAGAGTCTCTAGGGCTCTGTGGTAAAGCATTGGAGCGCGGAAATCCGAAGGTCTGAGGTTCGATTCCTCATGGGGACTCAGAATTTTTTCTTTGTCTCACGCTCGTAACAAGACGAAAAACATCTTTCTCTACTTCTGACATGTTTTAATTAAAGGTGGCAAGCTTATGCAAAGCATACGTGGCTTGAGTAATAATAATAGTAATAGCGAATATGATTGTTATCTAGGCACTTCCCACCGTGTTCAGCGCTGTCCGCTTGACAAACTTCGCGATAAAGAAGGACAGGGGTCAAAATAAACATGCCAATCTTTGGTTAGGTAATGGCAGCCCCTGCTAACTCTCTCGTAGCGGTAGTTATCGAAGAATGAAAAAGAAACAAAAAAACCAATTCAAAGGAGTAAACTAGACGATACATTAAGCAATATACATTGTGTCGAACAGCGGGGCGTTATCCAAAACATCACGTGGAGTGACTCTCTATTCAAAAATCTCTACATATGTCCATCGCGCATGTCAAATGCAGTTGAAACTTCTAGAAAGTCATATAAGACAGGTTATCTGTAGACAAAAACGTGATAACAAGAGAGACACGTGCCCCCTAACGACCCCTCAATTAATCAAACTTTAAAACAGGTTGACTGGTTCAGGTATCAAAGCAAGAGATAGTAAATTCTCGCATCGTTCCACAATCGTTTCTAATTGGATGCAAATGCCGTCCATTACTGCCGGCGCAAGAGCAGAATATTTCAAAATTCGAACTAAACTTGGCAGAATGTTTATTTCGAGTCATTCGTGAGAAAATTAACGATATCTAAATCCTTGTTAGGAGGAATTAGCTAACTGTACAAGGATAAAGGTTTGGGTCAATTAAACTT